TTCTCCTGACGTTTCGCCTGCATCTATGGCAAGCACCCTCAGAGGTAGTGAGGTCTGTTGGAAGTAGGAAAATGGGACATCTAATCACCTCTCAACAAAAGATTCCCCCAGGCACTGCCAAGCCATCAAATGCTAATCAAGGTGGTCAGTTGAAACATTCACACCTAGCTCCAGCAGACAAGAGTCCTTTGTCCCACCCTGGTCATTCCACAGATATATAAACCCATTTTCCTACTTCCAACAGACCTCACTACCTCTGAGGATGCTTGCCATAGATGCAGGCGAAACGTCAGGAGAGAATGCCTCTAGACCATGGCCATATAGCCCGAAAAAACCTACAACACAATATTATTATGCTTCCTAGGCCATGAACCAGGTTTCCAACACAAAGCAAAAAAATAGGGATACAGATCTCCCTTGGAGTCTCACCATCTCCATAAAGATGGAGTCTTGGATGTGAAATGCATATGGCCAGCAACGATGTGGAATTCAGACTAATCCAGAAGGGATTTCATGATTTTTAAAAAAACTTGTCTCAGATTGAAAGATAGATACTAGGCATGTGCAATCCATGGTTCTAAATGGTTCTAAAGCACTTACAAAACGAAAATTCTGGTGGTGAACACTAGAGGGCGCTGGTTCACTAAAGTCCTGGTGGTGAAAATTTCAGAACTCCAACAAAACTTTGAAAATGTCATTATTATTTCATTATTGATGATTTTTTATGACAGAACCAATTAGGAACTGCCATTTAGAATGAAATGTTGAAAGTTTTGTTAGAGTGGCAGAGATGAATGGATTTTCTTCTATCGTACTTGCGCAGCGTCGCCCTTAATGCTTTCATACAGTCGCTGCATAAGGCAGAGACGTGGTCACTGCCATTTTTGAGCTCCCCCACCATATGCGGCAACCACAGATTCTCCAATCCGGATTGGAAGTTTCAGCACCCGCTCTAAAAGATGACGACCGGTATGTAAGACTACTCCCGCGTATAAGACGACCCCCGCATATAAGACGACCCCTGACTTTTGAGAAGATTTTCTTGGGTTAAAAAGTAGTCTTATACGCCAGAAAATACGGTACATTAAAATTTTCAATTTTAATCTTGAGCTAGCTCAAACTTCTATAAAAAGGAGGATAAACCCTGTTAAAATAGCTCATAGCTTTGATTCTGAAGTCATTGTATTGACATCCTGTACATTTCAAGACCCACCTCATTAGCCTCCTTCATCTTCTCCCTTCTCACCACCACCTCTTCCTCTTGGCTCCAAAGCAAGCCTCACCTCCGTTGCTCCCGTCTTTTCCTCCTAAAATGGCGGCGGGGTAAGGCTGAGTGATGTTACCACCTCCCTCCAGAGAAGCAGAGGAGGCCTCTAGAAAGCGAAGGGGACGGGAAAAGGTTAGCGGTGTCTCGGTTTCTATGACCATTGGAAATACAAGTTTTCCGATGGTCTTAGGCGACCCTGTGAACGGGTGGTTCGACCCCCAAAGGGGTCGCGACCCACAGGTTGAGAACCGCCAATCTAGTCTAGGCTGAAAACAGGAGGGAAAAATAATTTTAATGGGCATTTTGAATTGCACGGAATACAATTGGGATAGAAAAGCAATAATGATAACCATTTAGAAAACAAAAACACTTGAGTACAGGGGAAGGAGAAAATATCCTCCAATCATGGGAAGACAAGGAGCAAAAGTCTCCAGCCACCTTAAAAATGGGGAAATGTGCCACATAGTAGTCAAAAAAGGACAAAATGTATGCAAAGTGGGGGCTCCAAGGGGCTGCGAATGCCCTCTCACCTCTCTACCTAATGCAATTTGGGAGGAAAATACAGAAATACTCAGTTCTTGTGGGTTTTTTCGGGCTATATGGCCATGTTCTAGAGGCATTTCTCCTGACGTTTCGCCTGCATCTATGGCAAGCTTCCTCAGAGGTGAGGTCTGCTGGAAACTGGGAAAAAAGGGGTTTATATATCTGTGGCCCTTATTTCTCATGCCAGGAAGGTAATGCTCAAGATCCTGCAAGGAAGACTCCAGTAATACATGGAGCGAGAGTTGCCAGATGTTCAAGCTGGGTTTAGAAAAGGCAGAGGAACGAGAGACCAGATTGCCAACACCCGCTGGATAATGGAGAAAGGCAGGGAGTTTCAGAAAAACATCTATTTTTGCTTCATTGACTACTCTAAAGCCTTTGACTGCGTGGATCATAATAAACTGTGGCACGTTCTTGGTGGGATGGGCATCCCAAGCCCCCTTCCCTCTCTCCTGAGGAATCTGTACAAGGACCAAGTAGCAACAGTCAGAACTGACCACGGAACAACAGACTGGTTCAAGATTGGGAAAGGCGTACGGCAAGGCTGCATCCTCTCACCCAACCTTTTTAACTTGTATGCAGAACACATCATGCGAGGTGCGGGGCTGGATGAATGCAAAGCTGGGGTGAAAATTGCTGGAAGAAACATTAACAACCTCAGATATGCAGATGACACCACTCTGATGGCCGAAAGCGAGGAGGAGCTGAGGAGCCTTCTAATCAAGGTGAAAGAAGAAAGCGCAAAAGTTGGGTTGCAGTTAAACATAAAAAAAAACAAGATTATGGCAACAAAAATGATTGACAACTGGGAAATAGAGGGAGAAAACGTGTAGGCAGTGACAGACTTTGTATTTCTAGGCCGACAGGGAGCTCTGGCGTGGACTGGTCCATGAGGTCACGAAGAGTCTGAGACGACTGAACGAATGAACAACAACAACGTATCTGTGGAATGACCAGGGTGAGACAGAGGGCTTTTGTAAGTTGGGCTAGGTGTGAATCTTTCAGCTGACCGCCTTGATTAGCATACAATGGGCTGATTGTGCCTGGAGCAAACTCTTCTTGAAAGGTGATTAGATGTCCCTGCCTGTTTTTCTCTCTGCTGTTTTTGCTGCTGCAATTTTAGAATTTTTTAATACTGGTAACCAGATTTTGTTCATTTTCATGGTCTCTTCCTTTCTGTTGAAATTGTCCACATGCTTGTGTATTTCAATGGCTTCTCTGTGTAGTCTGACATGGTGGTTGTTGGTGTGGTCCAGCATTTCTGTGTTCTCAAATAATATGCTGTGTCCAGGCTGGTTCATCAGGTGCTCTGCTATGGCTGACTTCTCTGGTTGAAGGAGTCTGCAGTGCCTTTCATGTTCCTTGATGCGTGTCTGGGCAATGCTGCGTTTGGTGGTTCCTATGTAGACTTGTCCACAGCTGCATGGTACACGGTAGACTCCTGCAGAAGTGAGAGGATCCCTCTTGTCCTTTGCTGAACGTAGCCTTTGTTGGATTTTCTTGGTGGGTTTGTAGATTGTTTGTATGTTACATACTACCATGTCAGACTACACAGAGAAGCCATTGAAACCCACAAACATGTGAACAATTTCAACAGAAAGGAAGAAACCATGAAAATGAACAAAATCTGGCTACCAGTATTAAAAAGCTCTAAAATTGCAACAGCAAAAACAGCAGAGAGAAAAACAGGCAGGGACATCTAATCACCTTTCAAGAAGAGTTTGCTCCAGGCACAGTCAGCCCATTGTATGCTAATCAAGGTGGTCAGCTGAAAGATTCACACCTAGCCCAACTTACAAAAGCCCTTTGTCTCACCCTGGTCATTCCACAGATATATAAACCCATTGTCCTATTTCCAACAGACCTCACTACCTCTGAGGATGCTTGCCATGGATGCAGGCAAAACATCAGGAGAAATGCCTCTAGAACATGGCCATATAGCCCGAAAAAAACCCACAAGAACTGAGTGATTCCAGCCATGAAAGCCTTCGACAATACATTAATACAGAAATAGCCCGCAACATCTAAAGCAGGGGTCCTCAAACTTCTTAAACAGAGGGCCAGGTCACAGTCCCTCAAACTGTTGGAGGGCCGGATTATAATTTGGAAAAAAAAATGAATAAATTCCTATGTACACTGCACTGTGCACATATCTTATTTGTTGTGCAAAAAACACTTAAAAACAATAAAATCATTAAAATGAAGAACAATTTTAGCCAATATAAATTTATTAGTAGTTCAATGGGAAGTGTGTGACTGCTTTTGGCTGATGAAATAGGATTGTTGTTGTTGTTGTGTGCTTTCAAGTAGTTTCAGACTTAGGTTGACCCTGAGTGAGGGCCGAGTAAATGACCTTGGAGGGCCGTATCCGGCCCGCGGGCCTTAGTTTGAGGACCCCTGATCTAAAGGAAATGGATCTGGTGTGGTAAACAAAGCACCTTAACGTAAAGGGACTTACTCTTGTTCCGTACTAGCCTTTTGACCACTGGCTTCGTGAGCCAACATTGGCCAGCCTGGCATTAAAAACCTGACTGAACGGAAGAAATGGGGAGCCAAAGGAGTTTTCAAATAGGAGCGTGCAGGAAACAGCAAATACTTCTTTTCTCCTAAACTAAACCCATTGAGGAAACTGGATGCTCGTAAGTGATGCTGCGGCTGCTGCTAGAAGAGAAGGAAATATCCATCGAAAAGGCAAACTGATGCAAGGAAATGCTACTGCATTCTGCAAATTCAGAATAGGCCATCAGGTGTTAAGAGCCTGAGCTGGTTAATAGAAGCAGCAACAGCCAAGACGAGAAGATCGATCGAGGGAGAAAGCAAGGAAGCCCAACTGCTCTCCGGTGCTTCGTGAGCAAACCTGGGAGACGCTAGGAACGCAGACGCAAAGGGAAGGACAATGAAGTCCACATTTGGGCAAAAGGGGGGAAAGTGGGGCACACATACGAGCACGACGAGGCCCTGGCAAAGGAAGAGTCCATCCCAGCAAGGTGGACGATTTCCACAGCTTTTTTCTCGCTCCCGTCTTCTCCCCCTTTGATTCGAGAAAAGCTTTTGCGCCGAAGGAAGTGGTGTGAAATGGGATGAGACAGCAGTGCTAAATCCCATGCGGAACCGGGTTTACGTTACACAGGAGCGAGGACAGCCTTCTGAAAAACAGCACACACAAAGGACCTCCGCGATTCGAGATTCTTCTTTTTTCTTTGTTGTCTTCTTCTTTTGTTCCAGGTGAAGCTGCTCCCCCGTGGAAAAAAGGGGCTGGTTTCCCAGCGCACGAGCCTTGGCTCTTTTACGAGCCCCGGAAGGTGCTGGTCGCTGCCCCCGCGGCCGCGTTGGCTGCAGCCGTGCGCACTGCTTGGTTGGAGAATACGCCAGCCGCAAACTCCTCCTGAGCTTTCTGGAAGCTGGCGCCGGTGCGACGGTAAAGAGAGTGGATCTGAAAAGGTGGGGGTAGGGGGGAGGAAAGAGAAAGATTGAAACATAGACTGGGAAGAGAGCACAAAGGCCACCCAGTCTACCCCAATTCTGCCTGGAGCAATGGACTTCATGTAAGTGTTTTCTACTTCATGGCGTGGCTAATCCTTTCTAGCTATACTGTGCCCTCTTGTGGTTGCATTTGAGCATTGCATACATACACACCAAATAGGTCAGTAGTTAGTCCTTCCTATCTATACTGCCCTCTTGTAGTTGCATTTGAGCATTGCATACATACACACCAATAGGCCAGTAGCTAATCCTTTCTATCTATACACTGCCCTCTTGTAGTTGCATCTGAGAAAACTACATACATACATACATACCAATAAGCCAGTAGCTAATCCTATTTATCTATACACTGCCCTCTTGTGGTTGCATCTGAGCACTGCATACATACATACGAACAGACCAGTAGCTAAT